TGGTGAATCCTCTCACCCTCCACATCTCTGGCCTGTACCCCGGTTCTGTATGAATAAATAAATAAATCTTTAAAAAAAAATTAAAAAAAAAAGTTGTTTCTTTTCTTGTGATGTATGGGTTCACTCTCTTGATTAGGGAGATAGCTTCAAAGGTGTATATTAAATCAAAAGTTATTAAAATGTACACTTGAAATGCTTATAATTTATTGTACATCAATTCTATCTCAACATAGTTGTTTAAACTTTTTTGTAAATTTTTTTATTTATTTATGCATACAAGAGGTGGGGTGTAGGCCAGAGGTGGAGGGGTGGGGAGGTGAGAAAACTCACCAGAGATAGAGTGGGGAGCAGAGCAGGCAGATCCACGAAGTACACTGCTGAGGGGAGCAGTGGGTGGGATAGGAGAGGTCTGTTGTGCCATGTGGGTCAGCTCCCTGGCTGGGGATCATAATCATGCACAGTGACTGGCAATAGCTTCACTGCTTTGAGAATTTAACCCCTGTGTTACCAAGGAGGCCCTAATTTTTCTTTTTTAATTTAAAAGAGAGTCTGCTTTTTGTTTCAGAATGCAGCTCATAAACTGGGTAAATGCAGAAGATTGTATTTGTCTCCCAAGAATATGTTTGTTTAACTCATAGAGCATGGGATTAATTTTCAATTTTGAAAAACAAGACTTCTTTATTATTATTTTTTAAATATTTATTTATTTATACATGTAGAACTGGGGTACAGGCCAGAAGTGCCGGGGTGGTGAGAAGATTCACCAGAGACAGAGAAGGGACAGAACAGGCAGATCAATGAAGTCAACTGCTGAGGGGAGCAGCAGGTGGGTCAGGAGAGGTCTGCCTTATGGGTCACCTCCTGAGCCAGAGATGGAACTCGCACTGAAGCAGCTGCTGTCAGCTTGCAGTGCTGCATCCTAACCCTTTGTACCACCAGGGAGGGTCGTGGCAGGACTTCTTTATAAGAGAGAAGGCTATTTTATGGCTTGCCTCTTCAAGAATTTATCACTCCTTTTCTAGAACCAGTTCTCAGCTAGAAACTCACCTTCATCTCTTTTAGTGATGTTATAAATAGTGAGACGGGACACGGAGGTCATGTTGTTGAGCACAGAAGTATAAACCTCGTACTGACTGCTGTTTTGAATGTCTGAGCGACCCTGGACATGGTGCCAGGACACGTTGGAGGATGGAATTTCAGTTTCACACACAAGAGTAACTGTATCCCCTTCAAAGATGATTTCGGGTATAACAGAGAACTTTGTTTCATCTGGAAACCCAAAGAAAATGTATTAAAATCCCCAAGCAAATAAATGTTATTGACCCCACTCCACAGAGCCATCCACAGGGTTCCCAGAAGACCCCACTACAGATCCGTGGTGCCATCTAGAAGACGTGTGTACTCCTGGCCCCCTCCTGGGGCAGCTGATCTCTGAGAGCCAAACATTTGCAGCCTGCCAGTCCGAGACTAGGAGTCCAGTGTGTAATTTCTGCACATTTAAGCATTCTCCTTGATAGCAGTGGAAATCTCAAAGCTATTTGCAGAATTTCAGAAGGTCTGGAAGAAACCTGCACTTTTGCTTATGAAAAAACCATGCATGCTAATGAAAACATCAGTTTTCTTTGTTAGTGACTTGAAAATTATTAACTGTTTCTGACTGGTAACTTGTATCTTGCTAACTGAAAAACTCTTCCCTATGTCTTTGATGATTGAAAAAAAGGGAAAACAGCTTCACTTTTGATAATAATGTCCACTTGGGAAATAAGAATTTTTTTAAGACCTAATACCCATGGCCCTTTTATAGTATTTCTGCCTTCTGCACACATTGCCTTCTGCAGCTGCAGTGATACTGGCCAGGCTGGGAGGTGCTACTCTGGCTTAAGAGCAGGAAGATGGCATAAACCTCCATGTCAGGAACTGGAGATCTTGCTGCAAGGCATTAGTGTGCTGTCCTATGCTTAAGAACAACGATAAACACTATCACTTATCCAAATAGAATCACGCATGAGAAAAGTACTGTGTTCTACTTACTACTATTGACAGCTTGGAAGGAGCTGTAATCCATTTTGTAGGTTTGATTGAGGTTCTGTTTCACTTGCTCATTGGCTTTATGAATTAATTCAGGTGATGCTGTTCCAGTTTGAATTTGATAGGTCACCATCACACTCCCAGGCCTAAAAAGAGATGATTAGTTCAATAAAACAGCATTGACCTGGAAGATTCTAGCTCTTTCTGGCTCATTTGCATGGAAAAATCAAAAATGACAGCAATAGCCTAGGTTCTTTTATCCTTACGGGTTCACCGACATAAAACTGTTTTCAAGCTTAGTTGAGAGTCTTAAGATTGAACTTGTACACTCAAATGTGAACCTATATGAAATAACCTCAGGGGTGAGTGAACTCATTTATATAAGCTGGTCTCAGGATCTCAGCCACAATGTGGACTGTCATATATTCCAGATGGCCCAGAGTTACCAGTTAACAGGAATGGCAAGCAAAGTCAAAATGCTGAATTTCTCTGTAAACACAACTAATTTTCAGATTCACAACTAACTTGGGGGAGGGGGCACTGTGAAACCCATGCCATGATGTCCTGGTGCCCAACTCCAGGGGGAGCCATTTGCATGCAGAGTGATCCTCTCTGGATGGACAGTTTTTCTTGAAGAAAAGCATCCCTGCATGACATCATTCCACTTTTATGTTTCTGAACTCTCTAGGCTGCCAGCTTAACCAGCATCTTTGTTTGCAAGTTTCTTACAGGCATAGAATATATCTGTCTTTCTTTCATCTCTCTTCTAAGTAGGTGCATCAGTGAGGAGTAATTCTCTGTTCTCAGTATTTCGTTTCCTGTAGGTCCCAGCAATGTCCCAGCAATGGCATTGTCTGCACCTCTATCCAAGGGCCCCTAATGAACATCTCAGATGAAGTCTCTCAAATGGGATTTTTCTCCTCTGCTAATGTTGGTTTCTATCATTGGCTAAAAATGACCCAAATACAGCACTCTTACCTGAACCCTGTCACCGTCACCAGTTTGAAACCTGGCAAGATACGGTAACTCTTCTGGAACTGGAAAACAAAACAAGACAAGTATCATGTTCTGTGAGAGTGAAGCCAACAGATCTGAAACAACAGGACCCTAATATTTCTTTTCACCCTGGGTAAAGTTTCTTTGTATCTTGTTAGCTGAATCAGCATCTTTAGAGATGTAATTCCAAGCTACTCATGTCAACCTGTGTTCTCCAAGAAACAAACTGTTAGGGAACTGCCTAGGAAGGAAATTGGGGAAGGGGTAGGAGCGACAGAAGGAGCCGTCAGACCTCCAGTGAAAGAGAAAAGGAAGCGGGTTGAATGAAAGGGCCCTAAACTAAATCTGGGAAGGTTTGACTAGATCTTCAAAGTTGTCTCGAAGTGTCTGTCTGTCAGACACAGACAGGCTGTGCTCCTTCATTTCTAGCCAGCAGCACTACCACCACGCATTTCAGAGGCCTTTGGCCAATTGCATTCCCTAAAGCGGGAGATCTGAAGGGTATTCTCATGACTGCCACCTGACTGATCCCTCAGTCAACATTGCAGCCATGTTTTAATCATTGTGGTTTTGGATGACATTTCTATTGCACATTGTTTCTGTGAATGCCAAATCCACAGGAGATTCATTTTGATTCAAGTCATATGTACAGAGCAGATGCAAGTGCAAAGCTCTGGGCCAGGTACCTGGATGGGTGTGACTAAAAGAATAATGTATAGCTCTCTTTCCTCAAATGCATGTAATTTAGTAGGTGATATGTGTAGGAGGAGGGTTCTCATGGTGTGCAACAGTATGACAAACTAGGTATGCAAATCAGATGTCCACAAACTCTTCTGAATCAGCATCTCACCATGGCACCCATAGAAAATATGTGCATGGAGCTCTAGGTAGAGTGGGAGTTACTCCTGACCTGAGGCCAGGGGCTGCTGTCTAGAGACTTAGGGCAGCCATGACCTCGGCCTTCCCATGGTACTTTCCATCATGTCTGTCAGGAAGCTGTGTTCCCAGTGAGTTAACTCAAGCAAAGATTTTGGTTTAGAGAAATTAATTCATTGTAAAGCTCTTAGAACAGTATCTAGCACACAGCTAAAACTCAGGTAATATTTTATTTTAACATGAGTAAATGTGAAAATATCTTAAGTGTAAATATCTAAGGGACATCTATGCAGCCTCTTGGCACCTCTACCTAAAAGGCATTAAGAGTTTTATTCATGTGCTATGTGAAGATGAATAAAAATGAGCCCAGTGAGGCCTTCTTTGGTGGCGCAAAGGGTTAAAGTGTAGTACTATGAAGCCATCCATAGCCAGGGAGCTGACCCACATGGTGCAGCAGACCTCTCCTGTCTTACCTGCTGCTCCCCTCAGCAGTGTTATTTCAGTCAGTGTATTTCAGTCAGTTTGTATGCATAAATAAATAAATAAACTTTTTTTTTTTTAATGAGACCATTGGTGCTCTTAGACCAGATTATTGAACTTCTGATTAGAATCCAGTGATTAATGACATCAGTTTTTATCTGCATCAACTCCATCTTTGAAAGATATTCCACCTACATAGGTCAAGATGATACAAATTCACTCCCTGATGTGAGTATTTCTCAACTCATCTTGCCAGGTGTGTAGGAACAATTTTAACATCCACATTCATGAATTCTGACAGATCCCAGCAAATTATTCACTGTGAGTGCAACAGATTCAGTTAAACCCAGAGTTTGTTGATTAAGAGATTCCTCAGGCTAAAACCTACTGCTGATTCCAAGTCAGTCTTGTAGGATCTATAGAGGGCAGAGGAGGAATTCCTGAGGTCTTCTTGAAAGCCCACATTGAGTCTGACCGACATTCTCAGGGTGACATCTGCTGAAAAACATAAGCAATATTTAAAATCTCATGTTAGTATTTGGATATCCACAAGACAGAGAAACATATGGTTCAAATGATGTCCAAGAGCCACTCAACAAACACTTAGTGAGCAGCTACTCACCTCCCCGGAGCTGACAAAAAGGTCCCTCGGGAGGTGGTCCTTTAAGGCAATGGCAAGGGTGCCCTGAAGAGCTGTCCTGCTCTTGGCAAGTGAGATTATGGAGGCATCTTTCCGGAGGCCACTGGTAGCCTTTTTCACACGAGCACCAGATTTCATTTCCAGCAGGTCTGCAGACTATCATCAACCGGAAGAGCATGGAGAGAGAGGGTAGTTATCACTTTTGCATTTATTGACTGCAAGTATTTATCTCACAGCACATCTAAACTTGATTCCATATTGCTCTGCTAGGAAGTTCTATAGTGCTGCCTGAGATTCATGACTCCTGTACAAGGCACCATATTGGTGGACAGGACCATCTAGCAGGTGATTGTGCCTATTTTTCCAGGGGATCCTAGGATCATACCATGGTATGATTCCTGGACTTGTAGAGCATATGGTAGCCAACCACCAAGATAACCCTGACCATCCCTGCCTCTATGTATTCACATTCTTTTGCAATTTCATGTTTATGCTAAGGTTGTTCTATGTGAACAAAAGAATATAGTAGAAGTGATGCCATATCACTTCTGAGATGAACTTGTGAAAGACACTATGACTTCTCTCTTGGTTGTTAGCTTCTCTCCCTCTCTTTCCCTCTTAGTTGCTAATCATTCTAGGAAGTGAAGGGGGAAGCAGGCTGCCACAGTGATAGGACATTTTATGAAGCAGCTTCTATGGTGAGAAACTAAGGTGTCCAGCCGGTCACTAGTGAGGAACCAAATCCTGCCAACAACCACATGTATGAGTTTGGACCTGGATTCAATGAGTCCCATGACCCATGAGCCTTCAGATGCCTGCAGCTCCACCTGACTGACAGCGTGACTGTCACTTCATGAGAGACCCTGAACCAGAGCCAGTCAGTTTAGCTCCGCTTGGATTTCTGGCCCTCAGAAACCATGTGGCATCACAGGTTGTGCATGTATTTATTTTTATTTTAAGATGCTAGGTTTTGGGATAAATTGTCATACAACAAATAGAATATAAAATACAAAAACGTTGTGCTATTTACATTCAAGTCATTTGTGAACAGCCCACAAATTCTGATCCCACTGGGGGACATTGAGAAATGCTCTGAAAATAAAGAACTTTGAGTTTGTTTCTAAAACTGACTTATTATCTAGGGACAGGCACCGAGGGAAATACCTACAGAGCAAAAACCTTCAGGAAAACTACCCACTCATTTGTATTATGGTCATAGTTCTAACTTCACTACACCCCACATCCCTTCTACCTCCTCCCTGAAGTCAATGCACCCCCAATCCTGCTTGTCTGTGAGCCCTGTGCTTTCTTATTTAACTATCAGAAGGAATTTACCCTCTCAACATGCAAATGACCAAGGCTAGAAGGCAGGATAACTTAAATTTTCCAAGGTCACTTGCATAAATAAATAAATAAACTGACTAACCCAAGTTGTAAATTTGATTTAACAAGTCTCTAAAATGTGTAGTGTTCCTTGAAGTCCTGTACTTCCAGTAGAACAAATAAATCAGGAAGAGTGTGTTGGTATGTGCTTATTCAATATACTTAACACTCAACTGAACATTCAACTAAATCTCAAGTGTGCATAATCACAAATAAAAATATATTGCTGACTTACTTGAATATTTGATAATCTGTTTTACTTACTAGATTTGCTCTCTGGCCCAGACACCAAAGGTTTCCATTAAAGAAAAAGTGTAAACAAACAAAAGTCTAAAGATCTATCAAATAATTTATTTTCTCAATATTTAGAGGAAATGATCTTATGGAATATCTGTGCTGAGTGAGAACATAAAAGGTGTTTCCTATATTGCAACTACATACATTGATTTTGTGAGATTTTCTGTGGAATTGATTCCTCTGTACGAACACATTTGAGAAACACAGCTCTCTGGGGTTGGATGATTTATAAGGTACATTGGTACCTGATCAAAGAAACAGTAATGGTGAAATTTGATGGAAATTGCATCCAAGAGGATCTATAAGGCAGCCACTTGAGGTCAAGGAAGCTCCTTTTTTGCACAACAAACTCCAATATCAGTTAGTGTTTTCTCATTTACAAAACAATAAACTTGTATGGGACCAGGACCAGTGGCAATTCACAGATTCTGGGGCATCTCACTGAGGGTCCCCCCAAGAGAAAGGAGAGCCCCTGGGAACCATGATACTGAGAGTCCTTGGCATCTAGTGGAAAACACCAGAATAAAGCCAGCAACAAATGTTATTAGGAAGTTAGGGGACAGAATATAGGAGAGCTGCTCTGGGCAGTCAAACTGTAAGGCTTTTAAGGATTTTTCCCTTTCTGGAGGAGAGGGGTCTTAATTATGCACACCTTGCTTCCACCTCTGCTCCCAATTCCCAGACTAAGTGGAACTCCTCCCTCCTTCTTTTGCAGTCAGGGGCACTGTAGCTAAAAAGACTTTCCCAGCATCTCCCCACCCCCACCCCCCAACCTGCCAGAACTTATCTGGTCTTTGCAATAAAGCAATAGCCTGAACTACAGCTGCACTCCTCTGGGGGAGTGCATGAGAGCCCTTTTCTGCCCCTAACAGAGCCAGCACAATCTTGAAAGGAGTCAGTGACCAGAAAGTCCCTGACCTGGGATTCTGTGTCATGCTATGCTTCTGATCCAGGCATGCACTTGGTTCTTACTTCCTCACCTATGATGCCAAAAACAAGGGATCTTGCTTCCTATTAATACGCTAAACCAGCCTTCACTATACCTACTGATTGCCTGCAGTCAAAGAATCCAGTAACTTGTCAGGAAGGACCTGGCCAAACCTTGGGATCACTTTGTGACAACAAAGGCAAAAACCACTAAACAAACATGTGGTTACTATATACAATAAGGAGACTCTGGCTGCTGTGTTTACCAGTAGGTACTTGGTTCTGGAAAGCTCATGTGGTCATAAAATCACACAGCAGACCTACTGGGTCATTTCGCATGCCTACTAAGTGTAATGTCCTCTAACAGTACTGAGTTCAGACCCATGAGATGCCCAATTCATGGGTCTTTTACTCACCTGTTGTTACCGCTATGTTCAAAATGTTGGTAGTCAGGTCTGTGCCATTACGTTGAACTGGAAAGCTGAGACTGTGCAAGTAATCTCTGATAGGCTCCAGGAATGAGGCATTTTCAAAACTGACCTCAATATCAACAGTATAATCTTTGAAAGCAGGACTACCTGAAGCAACTGAAATGGAAGCACATGAAAGCTGTGCGAATTCATGGGTGTTAGAGAACATGATCGCTACTTTGACATTAAAAGATAATAATGGGCAAATGTGCACACTGAACACATCATCCTTTCAGAACTTTTAGTGAAACTCTTACAGGGCAATCCCGATATGAAATGGGTGGCCTGACTGGGTTCTTACCGCTTGCTTATAAAGGACTTAACAATAAGACTCAACTGCAGGCACACACAAAAGGGTTAATAAAGGGCTTATTTACAAAAGAAAGGGAAATGAAGAAATGAATAACTCAGGGAGGCAAAGGTGGTGATAAGTTGGTGAATGTGTCCTACCAGTTCCGCTGAGAGGGGGCCCTAATAGCAGCTGAGAGCTGGTGAAAAACCAAAAGCCAAGGGCCTCCCTGCTAGTGCATATGATTAATGCACAATGCTATGAAGCTATCCCCAGCCACTGCGGCACCAGTTTGATTCCAGGCCAGGGAGCTGACCCACATGGCATAGCAGACCTCTCCTGACCTGCCCGCTTCTCCCCTCAGCAGTGTATTTCAGTTGATTTTCCTGTTCTGCTCCCTACTGTCTCTGGTGAATCCTCTCATACCTATCCCTGCACTTCTGTCTATTAGGCATAAATAAATAAATCTTAAAAAAAAATAAGCCAAGAGACCCCCCCGAGGCCCACACGTCTGGATATATGTACCAAGTGTGGCTGCTTAACTCCACCCTCAGTCCCCAGCAATCATCCCTTTGGTGGTGATGACGTTATGTCTTGGATCTCTCTGATCTGGAGTGGGGGTGGAGTCCACAAAACCTGTGTTTGTGGAGATCATTCAAGGCATCCTTTCTCTTCAACAATTCTTTTCAAAGGAAAAAAGTTTGCCTACTCACCCACCACCTAGCCCCTTCTGGGTGGTGCTTCCTCTTTATGCCTTTTCTATTTAAAGGGGAAGGGAAACTGACCTGTCAGGTCTTAGTATTGTGGTGCCTGGCCATTTGAGAAATTCACAGGCTAAACTCAGAACTTGCCCTTTCTCTTCCCACACTGCCCTTGGCGTCTAAGGCCAAGAACTGCTGTGTGAGGGAGAATGGACTGTAATGGGGAAAAAATAGAAGCACGGAGACTTCACAGGGAAGCTTTGGCAGAGTTCATACAATTGGTGCAATGGCCCTGACTCACTGGAGTGAGTCAGTGTGTTTCCAACAGCATTCAGCTGACACTGTGAACATGCGTGGTTAGAAGAGCTCTGGGAAAAGTCATCCAGTTAATTCCCTTTGCACTTAGCCTATGCACACAGCATAACCTCTTTGTTCTTCTTTATCTCCAGTTTCCGAAAGCAAAACTGGCAATTGGAAGGTAAAATAAAAAAAGATCATCAGCTTCTCATTGCTTTTGTAAATTTTCTGGAAGCTGTTGACCAACTGGCACTTTAATGCTCAACTACAGGCAAGTCAGACTATAAATATACACATGTATATATTTATGTATGTGTAGCCATATGCATATACACATATATGAGTGTGCCTTCATAGTTTCTCATATTACATCATGTCTGGTCCATACTTATAAACGTCTCAAGGACAAGCACTTAGTTCTTTTACTTCTCATGGTCTTACTCACTCTCTCTGGCATGGACCTCACCATGTAATAATTACATGTCCAATCAATTCTTATTAAACTTGTGAGCCTCTGAGTTGAGTCACAGTTCACTTCTCTTATGGCCAGAATTGCTCATTCTTGGCTGAAACACAACTGGACAGAAGCCTGGGCACATTTAATAGCTAAAGAAGAACTTTCAAAGAATAAAGAGAATTTCCTATACAAAAGCTTGGAGAAGCCAAGTTGTAGTTTATTTTATCTTGTTAATTAAATGAGCTAAAAAGAGGTGAATACTCACAAAATCATTACTTTAAAGCTTAAGTCAAATCTGGAAGTATGATGTATAGTTTACCATACAATTCTATATCTGTTTCCTATACAAGTAAGTAATTCTCCCATCATTTTAAAATACATGTTTTAAATGTTTGGGACTATCAATATAAAACACTATGACAGAGTAAATGTTTTATGGGACACTCCAATTGTTAAGTGTTTATTGCAGAAAGCTGTTACACTTGTTCACTTAAAGTTGTGAGCTATTGTTTCTTTAAATTAAGAAAGCTCTATTTCCCCTTGTAAAAACACATTTACAAATAGAACAATATAATTTTTAAAACCCAGTGCAGAATAGCCTTGTGTGTTGATACTATGGCATTGCATCAAATTTCCTGTTTTCTTTCTGATTCTCAAATGGCTCTGTGATGAAAACAAGTTTTCTAGAAGAAGCACTAATCCTAATTTTTTATTCCTAACTCTAGACACAGTATGTTGCCCACTGGGAACACTTGCAAGGAGGGCGGCTGCATGGTATTTACAAGGTTGGCCTTAGAGCACATTTCCTGAAAAGTAGAGCAGCAATGTTTATACCTCCAGAGGATTCACTAGCTCCAGGATCCATTACACTGTGATCAGTCTACTCTCTTCCCATGAATGTCAACAGATTTCCTGGTGGCTGCTTCTCAGATGAGTGAAGTCAGTAACAATCCCGATCTCCCACTTCACTACCTGCATTGTTGCAGCCCAGGATCTGAGCCCATGATAATCCCAGCTCCACAGTAATGCCTGCCAGAGGGCAGTGATATGTCTACCCTTGAGCCCACCTTCTCGTTCAATGTAAGATCTAACCAGGAGAAGCTGCTGCCTGGGAAGCACGTGGTGATTTGTGGATGCCATCGTCCCCTACTAACGATGTGGCAGTTCTTCCACTGAGATTTTGTAATGAGCTGAATCAAAAGCATAAAATAACTATGATGAAAACTTGTTGACTTTAGTGAGTTCCAATCTATGTGAACTTGCAACTGCTAGTGAAAGCACCAGTTTCTAAGGTTACCTATTCTTTTTTTTTTTAAGATTTATTTATTTGTGCATACAGAACTGGGGTACAGGCCAGAGGTGCAGGGGCGGTGAGAGGATTCACTAGAGACGGATGGGAAGCAGAACAAGCTGACTGACAAAGTACACTGCTGAGGGGAGCAGTGGGCAGGTCCGGAGAGGTCTGCCACACCATGTGGGTCACCTCTGGTGTGGGGGTCAAACTCGTGCTGAAGTGGCTTTAGCTTCTTAGTGCTGTTCTTTAACCCGCTGCACGACCAGGGAGGGCCGGTTACCTATTCTTGTTGAAGTAAAGGAGTTGTATGGGAGCTCTAATATAACCTGTCTGCCTCATCTCTCCCAAATGGGAGATGTCACTGCTTAGGAAAGTGACTCTTCTGTTCTGCTCCGGCCAGCAAGGGACCAAGGAAGAATAGAAGAGAGTTCCCCACCTCTGTAATGAGTGTGTCTTTCAAAGGCCCTTCCTCTGCTGTGGCTGGCCATCTGACTCCACATCATCTGAAGAGTTTCCTTTTATTGGATCCTTTGCTCTGGTGTAATTTGTCTGACTCACTTATGGCCGACTGGAAGGTAGCACATTCCAGGTGTCCTCAGCATCACAGATGGAGGCCTAGCAGCCAACCCAGGAGACACCACCTAGCCAGGATCGCCCCATTCTCTCCCCATAAATCACTGCCTGCCACACCTCACTTATCTTAAAAAGACATTTCTTGAAAGTTGGCCACAAGCTGTGACAAGTAGTTCTGGGTCTTAATCACAGCTGTTTAAGTAAACAATCCCATTTTTATCTGACAACTCTACAGGAATTATGGCTTCTCAGAAATTGAAGACTAAGTGGATACATAAATTAAGCATTCTCCTGTAAAAAAAAAAAAAATGAAGCCTTAGCAGGAGAATAACAGACTAGGCAAGAAAATAATAATAATAATAATGAGCAGCTCTATACCGGAGACATTTTGTGGGGGTGGAGCGGGGAATGGGATCAAAAACAGTGGGGGGAGGGAAATGCACTGGACTATGGTGACAGCACACAGGTGATTACAACTGAGATGGAAAAATGCACAAAATGATGTAAAATAAATGATTATAAAAATAATTTTAAAAAAAGAATGAAGCTTGCTGTGACTTCATCAAGGAACAACTAGGTTGGTGTAGTTTACTTCTGGCCAAAGGGGGCAATGCTTTTTTTTATTGTAAAGATTTATTTATTTATGCATACAGAACTGGGGTACAGGCCAGAAGTACAGGGGCAGTAAATGGATTCAGAGCTGGCTGCTGAATAGGCAGACTGATGAAGCACACTGCTGAGGGGAATGGCGGGCGGGTCAGGAGAGATCTGCCATACATGTGGGTCACCTCCGGGGCAGGGGATGGAACTCTCACTGGTGGAGGTTAGCTTGCAGTGCTGTACTTTAACCTGTTGCACCGCCAGGGAGAACCTGGTGGGAAGGTTGGGAGGGGCAATGCCTTTTTATTACTGAAGATTTGATTCTTTTATTGTTCTTCCTGGGTCCCATAGCAGGTAAATGTCACGTAAGTGTGAGATAACTATTTTTCTGCTTGCTTCTTGACATGTCAACGAGGTGGCAATTTGACAGCATTCTCTACATGCTATTGAGCAGAGTCTGAGAACCCTGTTCTCCCTTCCGGTTTTGGAGAGGATTGTTCATGGAAAGGCACCTGCCTGGTGACTGCCTAGTAGATGTGGATGAAGGGAGGGGGCAAGCAGTGGGCCATAAAACCCCAGGCTGGTAAGTCTGATAAGGGAATCAAATCTACTACCTCCTCCTCCAACCAAATCATCCAGGTTAGTCCCACAAGAAGGGATTTTCCCAATGCTGTCAACGCTTCTTTCTTTACAAAGCAGTTCTAGGAATCACAAAATAGAATCTCATTGGCAAGTACCAGAAGCATATGTGGAAAACTATGATCATGGACCTTAAAGAGCTGGGTAAATGCGGGGAGGATAAATGCTTATCTGGGCAGGTAATTTATCCTCTGTGAGTTACGCCAAACTCATCTGTAAATTAGGGGTGGCCTTTCTCTGCACATTTGTGGCTAAGTCACACCTGGCTCATGTGTAAATTAAAGGTAACATTTTCTCTGCACCGTTGTGGTAAAGGGCTACTGTATGAAAACCCATACATGTTGTCTGGCATATAGTATCCATGCAGCAGCAGGTAGGAAAAATTATTCAGGCTGTAGTCAATGTAATCATTGTACCCAATGTAGATGTCTACTGGTAGGGTAAGAAAAACTAATGATATTCCGATCAGATCTCACTTCTGAGACAGTTAAATTTACCAACAGAAAATACTAATCAAAAATTATTTAAAAAAATATATGTTAAACACTAAAGATCTCCCCTAAAATCAAACCCAAGCACCACACCCAGAGTTGCGAGGCTTCTCATGTTACTGTCACCATCCCTCTCTACACATTATCACAAGAAAGATGAGAGCCACAAACCCCACCAAATCTGTTCCTTATTCTGGAAAGTGCAGATCCTGAATCTGGATCAAGAAAGGCCAGACTCGGCAGAAAGGTAGGATTTCTAGAAACTCAATCTGGTAGGTAGCTGGCTCTCATTAAATGTGGGCAGGCAGGGATTTTAGCATATCTAGGACCTCCTGGAATGCTTCCACCCTGGCTCCATCTCAATATTTTGTCTCCCAGTATTCTTTTTGAAGCCAAAGAACGAACAGGGACTATTCTGCTCAGGGCCCAAATACCTTTCCAGTTAAGCAAGGAAGGCTAGCTGGAGAATTTCACAAATGGACAGGAAAGACTTGTTTGTGTTACTTCTAACAGATAAATGTCCATTTTCAGTCTCAATAAATTCCCCTTTAGGCACAATTTCAACCAGAAATCTTCCAAAATAAGTTTTCATTCCAAGTCAGGTTTCTATCTGTACTACTCAGGTCTGGAGTTTGTGACCTCATGGAGAGTCTTGTGGATCATTGCCCCCCTTAACCCCAAATCTGTCACCAAGTCCTTTTGGCCCTCTGCATAAAATGTCTTTCACAGCATTCCCTCTGCTTTTTTCCTGTTTCATCCGAGTGGCCAAGGCTGGTGTCCAAGCTGCTGGTGTACCTGCTGCTGAGTCTCTTCTTCATCTAATTCACTCAGTCACTGCACTCGGGTAAGCTGCACTCCAGGAGGCTTCCATCAGCCCTTCTCCTTTGCTGGACTAGAAATCACCTCCTTGGGTAATCAGTTTCAATGCAGATGATTTGCCCCATTCTTATTTCTCTCTGGCCTGCAGTAACCCCTCTGCTCTCACCATTATTCTGGCCTCTGGGTTTTTGTCGAGGCTTCTTTCCCCCAGTTGGGTTTTGAAACTATTTTCCTAAAATGCTACATTATATATGATGGATCCAAACTCAGATCCAGTGGATACAAAGGACCTTCCCTAAGCAGAACATATCCAGGATTTCAAAGCACAACATTATTTTTGTAAATAAATCCCTTGACGTGAACTTTAACTTAAAAAACCATTGGAAACAAACAACACATCCCTGGGTAACCCTATTAGCATTCAAAAAACTTAGAATGTATACAACACTGTTAGCTCAGTAGCCCTGCAAGGCAATCATATTATATATTATATATGATATGTGCATGTGACATATTATGATACATATACATGTGATTAAACAGTTAGATGAAAATATGTATCTAAATATGCACCAGTAGATGGACATTATGTATGATGTATGCTATAATACGGATACGGCATAGCTGCATGTAACTCAATGTAGTTATAGAATTGACTGCGGGGACTTAGAAAGAAGGCCATAGTGCTCTACTCATAATAAATATGAGTATCCATGTTAAATGTCATTTTTGTAAAAAATTAAAGATTAAAAATTGTTTTATACAATACTCTAAAGGTTAGGTTCAGAGACTCAAAAGAAAGATTCTTAGCAGATTTTTCTTTCACTTACAACCTTTGTCTGTCTTTTGGGGTTAAGGCTTCAGAATAGGAGACACGTGCATCTGTGTGAAAATTGGGAGTTCAGTCCTAACATCTCGCCTAGTTAACAAACCTTTCTGCCCACTGGATCCTTCCCTTGGCTTTCTTTCCTAGTTTCCCTGGACAATGCGTCTCTTAATTGCAACTAGCCATACCAGGCATCTGTGGCCTTCCCTTGGCAGTTCCTTGTTTCAGTGATTTTGTAAAAGTACCAAGGGCAATCCATCTTCCAAAGATGATGGGTTGAGTCATTAACACTTCCAAAACTACTTAGAGCCCCCAAAGCCCAGAGACCATGTATAATCCACGGAAAACATGCTTTTTAGAGAGATTTATCATCGTAATTGTTTTTAATGAAAGTGCGTCTGGAAAAATTTTGGAATGCCAAACCCTTAGATGTAAAAGTGGTTTCCTCCCCAAGGGCTAACTCTCATAATGTCGACCTGGGTCACAGACTTCTGGACTCGGAAATTCAGGAAGGCACTACTTTGACAAATATTGCGTCATCACCTGCATCTAAGGAGTTGGCAACCCAAACCCTATAACCTGGCAGCCACTTGGAGTCAAAACTCACCTACCAAGAGTTGGGTTTTTAAAAGAAAGCTCTTTCAAAGTACCAAGTGGGGACTTCTCTGACCCTGTTTCTGTCACAGGGTGCAGGAGGGCTGACAGGGGTCAGGGATGCTCTGAGGTAATGATGCAGAAGTTAAAGCATATTTACACTGTTAAAGTACAGTGTATGTGTGTAACCCACTTCAGGGAGGGAAGGGAGGAGGGAGAGGATCCCAGAGAGTATGGCACAAGACTAACAAAGAAAGGAAAGAAAAAGGAAGAGAAATAGCTGTGGCATCCATCACCTGTTGTTAAGTACTTTTGAGAGTTTAATGAATGTGGTCACATTTTCACTCATGTCACAGGGAAGCGGTCAGCTCTGGTTCCCACACCACGGAACCAGACCCTTCTTTGCTGACCTGAGGGCCAGGCTGCTCTCCTCGGTGTCTCTTTGAGATCACACATCTGAACAGACCCAGTCACAGGCTGCCTGTAAAATGACTCAATCAGGCTGCTAATCAATTCAGGAGTTTTACCTACTAGACTGCTGGGAGAGCCATGGGTTCAGCTGGTGCTCAGCCAATACAAAGCACTTTAGATCTCACAGAGGGACAGCTATGACAGAGATAAGCACTCATTTATTGAGAAACTGGGCTAGATAAAGAAGAGTCAATAGAGATGTAAGGAGTGGTGATGGAAAGAAAGGGGCATTGTCACGTGTTGCTAAGATATGTGTAATGCCAGTTGATAGAGTAAAAAATGAAGTTCCTTTGCAATCATTCATAGGAACTGAACCCTGATGTGCTGGCTGACAGAATGAAGAACAGCTTTTTAAAAAGTTTCAATTAAAGTCATTTAATCAGACTTATAGAAGAGATTGCCACACAAAGAGATGACATACCCGCTCGTTTTTGCCTCAGCGCCTCCTGCTCTGCTGACTCCAGGTCAGGGAGAATCTGAAAGAACATTTTAGAAAATCATCAGACTTGTAGACACAGTTTCACTAGGGACTTCCTGCTCATGTTCTCCACCATGTTAAAGATGAGCGTAGGGCTGCAGGTAAGGTAGAACCTAGTGAGAGGTCAGGAAAATGAAATGAGTCGCCTGTGTAGTGTGGCCTGGGAATTCACCTTTAATAGACTCGTCTCTCGGTGCAGGAGTGGAAAACTCACCATCTCTGAGTTTCTCAAGGTTCGTGCAATTTTATAAGTATAAATTATGCTGTTCTACTCCTGTGTTTTCTGCCCATGACTTAAACCTTGCGTCAGGGCAGTGAGCACTTAGACACATCTTAGGAATGTTTCTCAGCATGCGGCCTGTGCTCGCCTCGGTGTTTCTGTGGTGGTACGTTATGACATGATGCATGCTTAGAATTATTTTCTCATTCCCTGGTCTGGTCCCTTTTGTACTACCTGGTTCCATTGCTGCTTTCGGTGGCAGTGCCCATGGGACCAGCTCTCAGGCCAGCTTGCCTGAATATAAGGTTGTGCCACTTAGTTACGTGGCCATGGGGAAATGACTTTTCTTCTCTGAGCCTCAGTGTTCTGCTCTGCAAAATTGAATCACAGTACTGACTCCGTAAGATTGCTATGTGACCCATAGTAAATAATAAACCTTAGTACACGTCAGCTAGTTCCTATGATTCAATGGCTGAGAGCAAGGACTCCGCAGATTGACTTCCAATCCTAGTGCCACCATAAACTGCTGTGACCTGGGGCAAGTTACTTAACCTCCTCCATAATCACCTATACTATAAAGATAAAAATGGCTTACCTCATAAAGTTGTGAGGTTCAAATATAAATGTAAAGCACTGGGTATGATTTTGATACCATAGCAAGTGCTATAGTGAGGACACCCCTCACAAGGACCCCTCTATCAGTATAATACTGCTCACTTCATCACAGTAAAACTCATCTCTTTTCATCATGGAGCTTCTTTAAGAACTGACTGTGGTTGGCTTTGCTGCTGGGAGGCCAATGTAACCCTAATCCTGACCTGATATGGGTTTCCCAGCTCTTCCATGCCTCTGGGGGCTTATCCTGTAGAAAATCTGATAGCCTAATTAGTATCACAAAAGATGTGCTCCCCCACCCTACCTCTCTTCAGGGCTCAACAGAAGAAACCACAGCCCACTGGCTGAGTGTCTTGAACTCCACACACCTGTGAATCCCACCTGAAAAAGAACCATTCTGCCATTTGTGGGTTCAACCATTCTTGTTACCTCACATCATAATGATAACAAAAGCCACAGTTCCTTAGATGTATTCATCACCCTGTGCTGTATTCAACACTGTCATGTACTTGATGTGTATTTACTTAATTCTCAGACATAGGTATTATTATTATCTATATTTCACAGATGAGAAAACAGGTTCAGAGAAGTCAAATAACTTACCTAAGATCACACAGCTCATAAATGGCAGAACCAGGACTTAACTCAAACAGCCTGCATCCAAAGTTTGTGTTCTGATGTAGACATTGCATCATTTTATCAGGAGATGCCCCACAAAACTATGGGCCCATCTCAGTGACCCAATCTCCCTTTACCTAACACCTTTTCTCTATTGCCTCCTTTCTACTCCTCCCCGATGTTTCAATGAAAACTATTCAAAAGAACTGGGGGGAGACTGTGCCTGATAGTTCATCAGTGTTCTTGAAGAAATGAATAGAGCAATGATGAACGATGATTGGAATTTGAAAAGCCCAGTGACTGCTTCATTTGCAGTGAGGTTATATGATCTGAGTTAAATGTGCAGGAGTGAGAAGGAGCACAGTCAATGCATAGGGCTGGTTCCTGCTTGGCTTCCCCCAGCCTCCTTTGGCTCCAAGCCCAGACAGAAGGAAAAGCTTTTCTGCGGCTGCATTCCAGCCTCTGTCCTCCCAGGGGTCTGGGGGCAGGGACAGGGATCCAGCAGGAAGCTCTGTCTGCTCATCATCCCTAGTAGTCTAGGGGAACTCAACAGTCCAGGGGGAGCAGGTGACTATTGGCGGCCATTTGGGGGCAGTGTTCTCAAGTCCGGGTTTCATTTTCTCCATTTTCCAGCAGGCTTAGAGAATTGAGGCCTTGCTGCCTGCTGCTGTGGGTTGAAATCAAGGCTTATTTCAATTCACCCATGCAGAGGATTTCAAATCTTATGTAAAAGTCACTTGCCTCTGTTTCCCTAATCTGACTTAGCACATTGATTGGGGACAAGAAGAGTCTTTTAAACCAGCAGAATCCCTCAACGGGAGGCCATTTTTTGAGAAATGTTGCTTCTCCCTCCCACCACCACCTCCCCTATGTGCCCTCAGCACTTTCCTCAGCCTCCCTCTTAACCTCGGATTCCTCACATTATTTGCTGATATACACTGGTTTCTCTAATCATTTTATCAAACTGCACACCAATTAAGTGTCCAGTATTTGTCGTTCTGACTTGCTTTACTACAGAGCATTCTCTAGAACTCCCTCCATGTGACTGGAAATTGGCTGCCTTTCATCTGTCCTCATGGCTGAATAGTGTCCACTGTGGAACGTATGGTATCTTTGGTTTGATGGTTTAGACATCCAGGAGTGGGTCATATGGTATTTCCATTTTTAGTTTTTTAAAGTCGGTCCAAATTGTTTTCCAAAATATAGTACCAATTTACATTCCCACCAACAAAGTAATGGGGTTCCTTTTTCTCCACATCCGCTCCAGCACTTGGTGGTGGAGATCTTTTTTCTTTTCTTAAAATTTATTTATTTATGCATACAGAACTAGGGTACAGGCCAGAGGTGCAGGGGCGGTGAGAGGCTTCACCAGAGACAGTGTGGGAAACAGAATAGGATGACTGATGAAGTACACTGCTGAGGGGAGCAGCGGGCGGGCCCGGAGAGGTCTGCCGCCATGTGGATCACCTCCAGGGCGGGGATTGAACTCGTGCTGAAGTGGCTTTAGCTTCTTAGTACTGTGCTTTAACCAGCTGCTCCACCAGGGAGGGCCTGGAGCTCTTTTAATATGCGCCATCCTCACAGGTGTGAGGTAGCCTCTCATCATGATTTTATCCTGCTTCTCTGCTATTGAAAGCAATGATGAGCATCTTTCCATATGGCTACTGGCCTTCCGGACACACTGTTTGGTGAACTGTCTGTTTAATCTGCTGCTAACATACTAATTAGGTGGTTTGGTTTTTATTGTTCTGCCATGTGGATTTTTTATATATCTTGGCTATTAACTTCTTATCAGTTTTCTATTGTGTCAATATTTTCAGTTATACCATAGGAAGTCTTTTTAATTTGCTTGTATTTTCTTTCATGGGTAAAAGCTTTTTAACTTGAGCTAATCCCAATTATTTTTATTTTCCTTACCATATGGATGAGTCTCCCAAAATATCTTTGTTGTTGACTATATTTTTAATGTTGTCCTCTGTACATTTTATTGTTGTAGAGCTTAACTCTAAAATTTTAATACAATTGGAGTTTACTTTTGTATAGGGAGCTAAAGAGTGATCTGATGTGTGACTTAACCAATTTTTATTTATGCATACAGAACTGGGGTATAGGCCAGAGGTGGAGCAGTGGTGAGAGGATTCATCAGAGACAGATTGGGAAGCAAAACAGGTGGATTGACTGAAATCTACTGCTGAGGGGAGCCGCGGGCAAGACAGGAGAGGTGTGTTGCACCAGTGGGCAAGCTCCCTAGTTGGGGATCAAACTTGTGCTGCAGTGGCTGGCATAGCTTGCTAATGCTGAGACTTGATTCCTGCGCCACCAAAGAGGCCCCAACACCCTCCCTGCCCTTTCCCTATTCTGTGGTCAAGGCTACTCTGTCATAGACTGAATACTGATATATGCATGTATTTACTTCTGGACTTTCAGTTCTCTTCCACTGATTCACGCACTTATTTCTGTGTCAGTTATTTGTTTTAGTCCTGTTATTAGGGTGAAGTCAGGTAACGAGATTATCATTTCTCTCCTTTTCTTCAAGATTGCTTTTGCAATTTGAGAACTTTCATTGCTCCACATATATCTATATTATAATAATTTTTGTTCAGTTTCTTTGAAAACTATCTTGGTATTTTGGTGGTGATAGCATTAAATTTATCATTTAAACAGGCTAGTCATTTGGATTATATTGATTCTCCCCATCTCTCTATTTCACTATTTAGGTCCTTTAGAGCATCTTGCAATTCTCATTGCACAGGCTCTTGGCCTCATTAGTTAGGTTAATGCTGAGTTATTTAACTCTTTTTTAAGCAATCATAAATGGAGTTGTTCTATTGATATCTTTTTCTTTTTTCTTTCTTTTTTCTTTCTTTTTTCTTTTTTTGGTTGTATATTAAAAAGCTATAGAGGCCCTCCCTGATGGCGCAGCGGGTTAAAGCACTGCACAAAGAAGCTTAAGCCACTTCCACATGAGTTCACATGAGTTCGATTCCCGCCTGCCCCGGAGGTGACCACATGGTGTGGCAGACCTCTCCTGACCCGCCCGCTGCTCCCTTCAGCAGT